AGTGTAGATGTGGTGCTTGAGGACATGATTTAGTGGTGGACTTGGCAGTGCTAGGTTAACGGTTGGACTCGATGATCTTAAGGGTCTTTTCCAACCTTAACAATTCTATGATTCTATGATACCAGCCACAGTACTCAGTACCTGTCCTCCGCAAGGCTCAGAGGGCCATGCTGAATTTGCAGTGCTTTCTCTGTCACCGACCCCTTCCAGGTCCTTTGTGGCGTATTCGGTAATTGCTGGATGTGACAATGCAAATGAGAAAGGCAGGGTCCCTGTTAGGATGCAGCTGGCATCAGGCACCCATGCTGCTCCCCCTGTCAGCATCAAAAAAAAAAAAAAGAAAGGAAGGAAGGGGGGGAGGGAGGAAAAAAATCCTCAGAAAAAGAAAACTGGGATCAAGATAAGCGCTAGGGAGATGAGCAGTGAAGTGGAAGGGGATGAAAAGATGAAGTCTTACTTTTTTTCTTCTTCCAGGCTAGTTTTATTAGCTTAACAGACAACATTAGGTCTCTGGGTGCAAAGCTTCCTCTGGCTCCCGCTGTGGTGATTCCAAAAGGAATTTTTTTTTTTTTCCCAAGCCAATCTTTGCATCTCTCTTTCTTGTGGTGAGGAATTGATCATTCTGCTCTTTTTTCAGATGTTCAGCTCATCATGGGAGCTCATAGTAGATGATATATTTCCATTTTGATTTACTTCTTTCCCAATTACTTTCTTCTGTTAATTTTAACATGAAAATCTTTTCTGAACTTGGGATTGTAAAATCATGCACTAAAAAATGTGGTAAATGCACTTAGGTTTAAGGTGTTTTGTTTTGTGGTTGTTTTTTTTTTAAGTCAGCATTTTATGATATTTTATCCAGTCTTCCCTGTGTTTAGTAATTAGCACTGTTACATGGTTTTGAATAAGGATTTGAAACTAAGCATAAAAATGATTTCCATTTTTTTTTTCTGCTGCACACAGCAAAGGCTTGTGATACTCATAAGCGAAAACTTCACTGATGGGCAGAATTAATCATTTTTATTCTCCAACGTGCACACAGCAGCAAGCTGTGCTGCAGTCTCTTTAAGGGCAGAATTTAAACCTCGATTTCAGATGGTTGTGATATAAAGGTACAGCCTGAATTTTTTTACATTCTAGACATCACAGAATGCTAAATCATTGCTAGTTGGGATAATTGCAGTTGCTGGCATGTAAACCTCCATTCCAGAGTGCCACATGCCTGTAGAGCCACAGCTTTGGATGCATGCCCTGGTTTGTCTTCATTCCCTCCAAGTAAAGCTGTCCAGCATAGAAGAACATTGATTTTGTAAATCATATTTAATACAAATTTAAAATATATCTTCTTGGAACCTGGAAATGAAATGTTTTGTCCTGTGTCATTTGCCAAACGCTCTTTCTCCCTGCTTTTTCTGGCTCTGTACAAAACCATAGGCTTCCTGTCTTTCTAGTTACCAGTTTGTTTTGTTCCAGCATAATTGATTACCTCATCAATGGGGTCAGCATACTTTGCTGTAGCTGCTGACTAGGAGTTGAATAGGCTGTCTCAGAAATAATGAGCAAAACCTTGTAGGTTTTAAATTAATATCAAGGTTTTTAAAATGTAATTTCTCATCAAGTCATCAAGTAGTAGATATTACAAACTATCAGATAATAAGGCCAAGACCTATATCCTAGTCTCAGTCGGTACGAGTCCAGGAACAAACAGAAATCCTGTACGGAGTTTGAAGATGGAGATAACACTTAGAGGAACAGTTTCCACCAAGCTACAATAATTTCACCCCCACACATTACCTTCTTTTTTTTTTTTCCCCTATGTAATTTTCTAGTTGCTCAGCTATTTTATTTAGATTTTCAGTGCATAATGGATTGAATGTACTCTAAAAACAGTAGCTTTATACCAGCAGCCCTATTCACAATTTGGAGCTCAAATGTTTCTTGCTGCCTTCTATAAAATTATTTATTCTCTCAAAATTTCTGAAATTATAAAAAAGCCAGCCTTTACTGTCAATTAGGCAGGACTACCTGGCCTTACCCTCAAAATGTAGTTTTATCTTGCCCAGCAGGTTTTCAAAATTTGTCTCGGCTTTCTTGCACTGGTTGGGTTGGAGCGATTTCTTAGTGCTCTTCCCCAGGTGTAGCTATTGCCTCGTCCCCACGCCGTGGGTGGGCTCTGGGAGCCAGTTCATTGGTGTTAACGGAGCCAAATCTGCATCTGTCCTTTGCAAAGTGAGAGTCAGCGTGGCAGAGCCCTCCCGCTCTGTGTCGGGAGAGGTATCTAGGCAGGGGAATGCACACTCCCATTTCCCCTTACATCCTGTATGGTTATATTAACCAAGGCTTCTCTGAGCTACAAATTATCCAATTTATTTGTTTTCTGTATAAACCAATAATGAAGTGTTACTATTGCAACACAGAGGACAATATTTTCTGAATCCCCACTTTTACTAATTTAGTTCTTCACTAGACACTTTCGGATTTCTTCTGCTAGGAGAATAACATGAATTATTTAACGGGATGCAATTTTCTAAAGGCAGTACTTACATTGCAATCAAAAGCCATTGGTATGTATACCCATTGTGTATGCAAAATTTTCTTTTGCACATGCAAAATAGGCACGCATGCAACAGCTTCCTTTAATGTGCAGGGAAATTTGCTTCTCGGAATACTGTTTCATGCATGGAAAGGATATGAACTCAAATCATTTGGGAGCTAGTTTGCTCCTAGTATGTAACAGTTTGTGGCAGCTATCTGGTCAATATTTTACAGCTGTTTGTGTATCTTCAGTGAAGAAGGAGAAAGGTTACATGCAAGCGTGTTAAGGATGCAAAGTCCGGCACTGGGAGAAAAGAAATGCTATATTTAGTCACTCATGCAATGTGGATTTGTTTCGCTTTGTGAGTTACCTTATGTCATCATCTTCTACCTACGTCATCATGCATTGCATTTCCCACAGGTTCCCTGACACACACAGTGCACGGGATGACTAGCACTCTCAGCAGCAACTGGTCCAGTGCTACTCATTTCCTTGTAGGCTTCTCTGCAGTGTCATGCTAGTGTCTCAGCTGCGAATGTCAATGGCTGCGTAGCACCGACCAGCTGAAGAGGCATTGTCATTCCCGGCGTGCACGTCCGGCATTGAGGCACAGAGATGAGCACCGGGGCACTCAGAGGGGTCAGCCAAGGGGAGGGGGCCATTCTGAGAAAGCAAGGGCCTGGTTTTGCAGAGCACTTGGAATTTCG